AGAACTAGGTTTTTGTACTTGGAAATGTAATAAATTGAATACTAGTTGTCTTTTTTATGTACAAACACCATCTTCAACCACACAGACACTCCTATCAATAGCCTGTAAGGCCAGCATGTCAAACTCGCGGCTCAGAGTCCTTACTGGGTATCATTGGGATTAATCATGTAAAACTAGTGGTCACCTATTGAGCAGAGGAAACCTGTGCTCTGGCTGCAGCAAAGATGGTCTTCAGGTTTTTGGAGGAAATTGATATTTGATATTTTAAAAAAAATTGTCTTCATGAAAAAACACACCCTAAATTCACGGTCTGGACTTGTTTTTAATTTTGAGGTATGTGTTTGAGGGGAATAACATAATCTTCTCAGGGCCTAGGACCTCAAAATGTCCTCACAAAATTACCTCTGAAATAAGCAGAAAAATCAGATACAGAGAACAAACTGATGGTCTCCAGATGGGAGGGGGTTGGGGACGGGGTGAAAAAAGTGAAGGAACTAAGAAATACAAATTACCAGTCATAAAAATAGTCACAGGGATGTAAAATACAGCATAGGGAATATAGCCAATAACATTGTAATAACTATGTGTGGTGTCAGATGCGTACCAGAATGATCAGGGTGATCACTTTGTAAGTTACATAATGTCTAATCATGGGTGGTACACCTGAAACTAATATAATATTGTATGTCAATGGTAATTGAAAAATATTTTCTTAAAGGGAATTCTGAGCCATGCTACAACATGGATGTTATGCTCAGGGAAATAAGGTGAATAGTGTACGATTCCACTTACAGGAAGTGCCTAAAGCAATCACACTTACAGACACAAAGTAGAGTGGCAGCTTCCAGGAGGCGGGGTGGGGGACGGGACGGGGCGGGGGGTGTGTGTGTGGCGGGGGGGTAAGGGAGGGGAGGTGGGGGTTGTTTAGGACACAGTTTCTGTTTTGTAAGAGGAAAGAGGTCCCACCATCTGGGGATGGCTGGTAGTAATGGTTGCACAACAATGTGAATGTCCTTAATGCCACTGAGCTGTGCACTTCAAAAACAGTTAAGATGTTAAATTTTGTTACGTGTATTTACCACAGTAAAAAACCTTAAAAAAAAGCTAGCAGCAAAACCCTGCAGGCTAACAGTGCAGTGGCCACTCCAGACTGAAATGACAGGGCCGGACCTCTGCTGCCACCTGTTGGTGACAGGGAGAGTTTCCCAGGGCCACTGGCGTGGAGGCGGGCTTTTATGGTGACCCAGAGCTCTGTTACTGGCTATGGAAGCTTCCCAAGAAGGAACTTCTTAGCAGCCAATTTAAAACACGCTCCCCCAGGCGCTGGGTGTGCCCGACTCCTGGTCCTGCTCTGTTTCTGCCTCTAGTGCAGTGGTCTCAACCTTCCTAATGCCGCGACCCTTTAATACAGTTCCTCATGTTGTGGTGACCTCCAATTTCATTGTTACAAATTGAACATAATTAAAGCATAGTGATTGATCACAAAAACAATATGTAATTATAAATGTGTTTTCCGATGGTCTTAGGTGACCCCTGTGAAAGGGTCGTTCGACCCCCAAAGGGGTCGCGACCCACAGGTTGAGAACCGCTGGCCTAGTGCTTCTCTCCACCCGCCACCCTAGGTTTTGCTCGCTATTCATGATTTTTGTATCCGCCCGCAGACGAAGGGAAATCAGCACGCGAGAGCAGAGGGAGGAACAGCATGTGTGGATGCTCTGGGAATGCGAGGCACTGGTGCTCAGGCAGTGACAGGACATGTCGCCATGGATAGGGACAGCCACGGTGGGAAACACGGTCAGATTTATTTCAAGAAAAGAATCGCAGTGTTTTACTTGCTTATTTTTCTCTTGTCTAAAATGGAAGCTCCAAAAGGCAGAGATTTCTGTAGGTTTTGTTCACTGCTGTGGCAGATGCAGCTGCCCAATCTCCCCTCCTTCCTGTTAGTAACAGAAGCCCCACTGGGCAGTAGCTGGGTGTGCATTGCCAACTACAGAGTACACTTCCCAGCCTCTCTTGCAGCTACATGAAGCTATGCATCTAGATTGCCAATAAGTTGTGAATAAAAGTTAAAATGGCCGAAACCGGTTTGGCTCAGTGGATAGGGCATCAGCTTGCGGACTGAAAGGTCCCAGGTTCGATTCCGGTCAAGAGCATGTACCTAGGTTGTGGGCACATCCCCAGTAGGAGATGTGCAGGAGGCAGCTAATCGATGTTTCTCTCTCATTGATGTTTCTAACTCTCTATCTCTCTCCCTTCCTCTCTGTAAAAAATCAATAAAATATATTAAAAAAAAAAAAAGTTAAAATGGTTGTCCCCTTCCTGCAGGCTAGAGACAGACACGGTGAGGATGAGCCTTGTGAGGATGATGCCTCAGAGAATGGCCCAGCCACAAAACAGGAGGAGCCTGAGTTCTTTGTTGCCATGCAGACAGAGCCACCCACCAGGCCCCCGCCTGCCCATCTCTGCACAGACAACGGAAGAGGGATAAATGCCCGTCTTATCTTGGGGTCTCTCTGGCATAGCCTCTGTTATGAAACGCATTGTCTTCCAAACTTTATATGTTGGAGCCCTGACTCCTAATGTGACTGTATCTGGAGCTAGGGCTTCTAAGAGGGTCATCAAGGTCAAATGAGGTCATAAAGGTGGAGCCCTAATCCAAAAGGATGGGGGTCCTTATAAGAGGAAGAGACCAGATATCTCTCTCTCTCTCTCTCTCTCTCTCTCTCTCTCTCTCTCTCTCTCTCTCTCTCTCTCTCTCTCCTGGGAAAGCCCATGTGGGGACACAGCAAGAACAAGAAGAGGGCTGTCTACAAGCCAGGAAGAGAAGCCTCACCAGAAACCAGCCCTAATAGCACCTTGATCCTGCACTTCTAGCCTATGAGGAAATATATTTCTGTAACCTAAGCCACCCAATCTGTGGCATTTTGATATGGCAGCCCTAAAGGACAGCCTCTTGGTCTGTACCCTAATACATTGCTGAACCTCCAGTGTCCAGATCAGAGCTTGGAAATTAGCAGAGATGCAATAAATATTCTTTGGATCGATGAATAAGTGAGTAAAATAGCAAGACGGTATTTAATGTGCGCAGTGACATAAAAATGTAAAAGATTAATGGATTTCAGCAGATTGTATCTGTCCATTCACCCACCCAGTCACCTTCCCATCACCGTTTCTATCTGGAAGCAAAGGGGAACCTCATCTTGTCCTCATGCCAGTCAGCGTCTTCTCTCCCACAGGCCACCCTGCACCTAACCAGTCAGTGCTTGTTCATTCTACCACCAACAACACTGTAATTATCGAGCATTGCAATGGTCACAGCTCTAGCCCAGGCTCTGTGATCTCTTCTTACTTTGATAACTGCTTCCAAACCTTCACTCCTCAGTCTCTGTGCCTGAGCCTGGTGCAGAGACTTCTATTTGCCTCTTTCCAACCCATGTGCCTTCTTTCCTAGGAACAGACTCCTTGTTTCCTTCAGTGACAGTGCTCTCTGTGCAACTGCCCTATTTCCCCGTGCCCCGCAGCCCAGGTGCAGCCAGAGAGCGCAATCCCGGCTGACAGGTACAACCGGAATCTGTGGGTGAGGTTTCTGGAAATCCTCTTATGAAGAAGGACAGAGGTCTGGGACCAGGCCACCTCTTACACACCCACCGTTCCTTTTTCCTTGTTGCCTGGGATTTGGGAGCGACTGCTGGAGCTCTAGCAGCCACACTGAAATGTGTAAAATTGAGAAGTACACAGAGAAAGAAACTCCATCCCTGATGATTTTGTGGAACTGCCACACCCCAGGTTGCCTCTCTCCAGGTTTAATTGACACATCCGTGAAACATACCTTCCAGCGTGTAAGCCGCTGCAGGCAGGCTCTGTGATTAGCAGCTGAACACTGCTCCTAACCAGCCTCAAACCCATGCCTTCTCTGCCATCAGCTTAACCTTGCCAATCAGGCCCATTCTGAGGGCTGCTCCTGGCTCAGAGGGGCTTCAGCAAACACCCAGTCCTGCAGGGCAGTGGGGAGGACTATCAACAGCCTCATTTCACAGGTGAAGAAACCAAGGCTCAAGATCATGCCGTCAGCAGATGTCAGGGGAGGGACGAGAAGCAAAGTTCAGATGATGCTGGTGAATGACGGGGATGGGGCTGGGACTGTGGTGTGAGCTATGGGACTTGGAGACTTTACACTTGCACGTGTGTGCGAGCATACAAATGCTCACAACATGCACATATGTGTGTGCATAAAACACACACAATTGGAATCTAGTGTGGACACCTCCTGCTTTTGCCTGTCTTCACACCATTTGCCCTTTTCTGATAACAAAACTCTTCTGTTCTGGGAACTGTCCCTGTTCCAACTGAAGCTGTCAATCACTGGACACATGACCCCAATGGGCTCGTGGTCCCTGCCTCCACTGGACAAGGTGAGGGCTCCAGAGGTGGCCTTGTGACTGACTCATCCAGTCAGAGCTCTTCAGGGACTGTCCCTTATTCACTGTCTGTGACCGAGGACCTATTTGCGTCTCGAAGACTGTCTCCTTCTCAATGTAATGACGAAAATTTATTACCTGTTCTCCTGTGTAGTCGTGGGGATGAGCTAAAACAATTTAATAAAGGGCCTGGTATATGGTGAATGTCCACTTACTATTAGACTTCTTTGGAAAGCTCTCATTTCTATAGACACCATTAGTCTGTAGCGTAGAAATTACTGTTACAAAAAATGGACAGGTAAGCTCCCAAATCCCACTTAAATCTGGGTCATTAGTTCATTTGTTCTCTGTCACACAGACAAGAGGTTTATACCTCTGATTTCTGGAAGAATCACTTCCACTGATTTGAGTGATAAAAAGAGAAACTTGGGGACAGTACCCATCCCTTATCTGTCTCTAAAATAGCAACTGTAATTGCTGAGATTAGGAACTGCATTTCTTCTCAATCTGGCAATCTTAAAAACTAGAGACATTTTCATTCCCACTTGAACGAGAGTCCAGAAACCACGTGGAACACAACTGTTTGGTCGTGGTCATGGTATTTATTCATAGTATATTTTTGCAATGTGTTAACAATGGAGAACAGCACATATTCATACACTGAGTATACCCTCTCCTGGCGCGCTCTGGAGTTCCGGGGCTTGGAGAACACTGCCAGGTTTTTCTTCATCTCTTTGGTTTGTGGAAGTGGCAGGGTCTGCCAGGGGGTGTGGGCAAAGACTTCCCTCCGGTCAGGCTGCAAGGCAGGAGGACCATGGCTTTGGCACTTCCTTTTGGAAAGATGTAGCAGAGTGGGGTGATGGACGATCAGAAAGATGGGGCACCTGGTACTCCACAGTTCATGTCTTGTCACAAATGCCGATCACTGCAGCAGCCACGAACACTGGCAGGGTCTCGGGCTCACGGCTGGAGGAGAAGGCATGTCGCCAATGTTTTCATGGAAAAGGCAATGACTAAGCACCTGGGTCTGAACCTCCGGGTACTCTGGCGGTGCTGAAGGCCAGCTGTCCTATGTATGCATCCTCATCTTGCAACTGGTAAACTTGGACGTCATTTCAGAAAGTCTTAGCAAAATGCTGTGAGGACCTCTCTTTCTCAAGGTCCCTGGAATGACACTACTTGTGGGGCCCTCCGTTTCACGCAGAGGGACTGAGGCACCATGAACTGAAGCAAAACATATTCATAACAACAACAATAAAAAGAACAGAGGACAACTCTCTTCCGAGAAAGACATGTCCGAAAACGGGTAAATAGCTGGCCTCATTCTAGCCAAGTGGTTCCGTCCATTGGACAATGTCCTTCGGTTCCTCCCTTATTAAATGTGTTTACATTTCTGAGTCTGAAGATCACTTAAATAATACAATAGTAGCACCAAGGCAGCAATTTTGTTCCCAGAGTTCACGTGAAACTGAATAGATACTTAACGTAATTCATAGCTGGTACAATCTGTGACACCACTAAATTCCTTACGGGCTAATGATGCTTTCATAGAAATGGCAAATACTGCTGTAGCACCTTGATGATAGCTAGATTGTTTTAAAAAACAAATTACAATTTTTTTTAAAAAAAATGAGCAATAAAAAGATTTACATATAGAAAGTAAACAATAGTGTACCGTGATAATGAAGGATCACTTTTGTCATAATACTACATATAATGTAGAGTACGTAAAATGCAGTGGTCTGACTGCAAGGAACAAAATATTGCAAAAGGCAGTCATAATAGAATCATTTTACGTACAAAAATATTACATCACAATAAATAATTTCAAACATAAATATTAAACTTTACATCATTAGGACATTCCACAAATATACACACCCATATCCAGAGATGTGTGTGTGTATATAGGTTTATATATGCATATGTATATGTACACACACACACACACAAGCATACAAGTCCACACACACACACATACACACGCACACGCACACACACACACGCCCAGATTTTAGGTGGAGGTATTGCATTACTATCCTTCATCCATCCATCACGGCTTCCTCTTCAGGGCACCTGGAAACAGATGAGCCACCAAGAAAGGTCAATCTTCTGTCTCAAAGGTCACAAGTCAAGCGTAGGCAATGCATACATTTTTTCATGTAGAATGAACAATCACACGTTGTTCTCTTAGATTTTACAAGTAAAGGATGTTTGCTGTAAGAAACATGTAGATTTCCGGGAAGCATAAAGAATAACAAGTCACTAGCCGGAAATTCCCACCCGAGGTAACGCTCTTCTCATACTGGTATATTTCCTTCTAGGCTTTTTCCTATATGTACATGTAAATATTATGTAAAACACATGCAAACATTTATTCACCATATGTAAAATATATAAATACACATATAATGGGGATCTCTAGTGGATACTTGCTGACTTTGCTGCCTTCATCCCATCTCCCCATTTCTGATAACAAACCCCTTGTGCGTTGGGAACTATGTCTCTTCCAAATGAAGCTGTCAATCACCCGACTCTAGGTGGGTACATGATCTCCATTTCATGGACATTGTGATTGGTTCAGAAGTTGCCATGTGACCCAACCAGAGCCAGAGTTCCTGTGCAGAATGGATGCCGGAGATGAGCATTTACTTGGGACCATGAGCTGTGAGGGTGGTGTGAGCCGAGAGCTGCCAGGGGCCATGGTGGGGGGAGATGACCTGCCTGAGAATGAAGCCGTTTAAGAGACAAGCACTGCTGATTGATGGAGAAAGAACGAGTCCGTTTGAGCCTCTGGATCCAGCCATGCCTGAAGCCAGCCCACTGCTTGAATGGCTGAGTTATTTAAGACAGTAAGTTCCCTTTTGGTCTTTTGCCTCTTGCAAAGGAAATAATCCTAACTTGAGATCATAATCTTGAATTTAGATGTTTAATTGAACCTTGAAATACTGCTTTATAAGTGACAACTAGGTTCTCCTAAGAGCTTCCCAGGATCATGGGCTACTGGAAACTGGACGGCAATTAGTGCGAGGTTATATGAGTAGTTGAGTTCTTCCCTTGTGGCTGAGGGCACTGGGGCAAGAAAAAGCAGGACCAATCCGCCCTCTGCCTGGCAGAGAAGGCACTTGTCGGCATACTGTGGTTGGACCAGGGACTACCAAGCTTCAGCAAGCACGACTCTCCTAGGGATGCAGATTCTGGGTTCACGGGCCTAAGGTGAGGCCTGGGGTTCTGCATGTTTAACAAGCTCCCAATTGCACACAAAGTGTGTGCCACAGTGCAGTCAGGAGGGCAGGGGCTCTGCCAAGGGGACTCATGGTGCCCACAGGCCAACTGCCTACTGTGTGGGCCGCGGCTCCCATCTGTGAAACGAGGATCACAACCCCACGTGTGGCTTTCTTATGAGGATCCCATGAAATGATGCCTGCAAAGTGCTGAGCGTGGTGCCTGGCACACAATCAGGGTGCAGTGAACACCCTAAGTATTATTATTACAACACTCCAGGCAGCATTCGCAAAGGTTGAATCACCCACACCAGAATTCTTTGTCCTAAAAATACAGATTCCTGCATCTACCAGAGACCCACTGAGGCAGGACCTGCTGAGACAGAGCCCAGTAGCAGCATTTAACCGGCTCTGCAGCCAAAGCTGACGCAGGAAGCCTCAGATCCCAGGGCGGAGGGCCGATGAGCAGGGGAGGAAAAGGCAGGACAGTCCCCCGACTGGGGTCAACGGGCCTGGCCACATTTGTTACTCATCAGGCTGTGAAAAGAATGGGGTAGATAGATAGAGAGACAGACAGACAGACAGAACTGACTTACCTTAACTATAAAATCTGAACCTCCAGGCCAGTGCCCGAGGACGGAGTGCATTTCCCACAGTAACCGCCGCATGTCCCCACCACTCGGGTGCCATCCTGCAAGGAGATGCATGACATTAGACTACCTGCGTGGCTGGCGTTTCCAGCGCTTGCCCTGGCTAGCCACTGCAGGCAATCGCTCCTGCGCACACAGGGGGCAGGCCTTCTGAAAGGCAGCGAGGCCTGTCCCTCACTGAGGGGCGAAGCAGGGTTGACGGCTGTGGGCTCAGGGCAGCCTGCCGCCCACTTCCGGATGGCCCACAGGTCAACAACAGTGTTGACATTTTAATTTTATTTTTTTATTTATTAATTTGGAGAGAGAGGAAGGGGGAGACACACAGAGAGAAACATTGATTTGTTGTTCCACTTACTGATGCATTCATTGCTTGCTTCTTGTATGTGCCCTGACCGGGGATCGAACCCACAACCTTGGCGCATCAGAATGATGCTCTAACCAACTGAGCTACCGGCCAGGGCATGTGTACATTTTTAAACAGTTTAGAAGAAGCTAATAATAATAATAATAAAAATAATACTTCTTGACAGGTGAAAATTTTATAAAATTCAAGTTTTACTGCCCATAAAGTTTGATTGAAACGTAGCCTTGTTCATTCACTCCATGACTCCAGGGTTGAGTAGCTGGGACAGCTCTCTTGCTCTGTATTGCTACTCTGCACACTGCCAATCACAGGGACACCTCTTCAGTCGACAGTGCTTTGAGTGCCAGGCGTATTCTATATCATAACATTCTGCTTTATTTTTTTTAATTACTAGTGTCAAAACAAGAAGAGAAAAGTAGACTCTGGATGCTACACTTTTGAGGTACAGTGCTGGGTGGATTATTACGTTATCAAATTGAGAGGGCAAAGCCTGGGCTTTATCACACAATGACATCACAGCTGTGCGAGGAGAAAACACTCTAAACCCGCGGGCGCAACCTTTCGGACCTCACAGACCAATAGTGTCTGCGGACCATGGGCTGGCGACCGCTGCCAAACCTATGTTACCAAACTCGGCCTTCATCACAATGCTCCCAACTCACGGGAGAGCAACGCCCTACGTTCAGAATGTTTAAAAAGGAGTATCTCACCGAAGCACAATTTCTTTGTAAAAATAAAAAATGCAATGAGTAAATAAGTTTCAAAGTCGCTCATTTGTTAGCCAAGAATGGAAACAGTTTACCCATGAAATCTTGTTCTATTGCAATAGCCAAAGAAATATGTCCAGAGAAAATAAACCTGTCCTTAGCGGAGAAAGTTTTCCAACCCTTGATGTAGAGCAGGGGTGGGGAACCTCTTCTCTGCCCGGGGCCATTTGCATAGTTAGAACCTCATTCACAGGCCATACAAAATTATCAACTTAAAATTCAGCCTGCTACGTTTGGTCAAACATTTAATTAACGGACCCTCTAATGCCTTGGCAGGGCCAGACCCAATGATTCTGTGGGCCCTACATGGCCCGCGGGCTGGACGTTCCCCACCCCTGACCTAAAGTCCTGGGTGTTCACTCCAGATACCATCACTTCCCTCTCCCCCGCCCTGCTCCCGGAATTTCTTTGGGCTGCTTTTCTGATGTGCTCTGTACACTGGGCCTGCGCACATGTCGCTCCTCTACCTGGAGCTCGCTCTCCTCCTTGCCCTCTGCGTGCACTGGGTCAGCCCAACTTTCGACAGGACCCAGCCCAGGGTCCTTCCCTTGACATGCCTTCCTGACCCAGTGACTGCTACACAGCAGCCTGTAAAGATAGGCAGTTCTTCCTTTACACCTGTCTTCCTGCTAGAAGGTGAGCCCCAGGCTGGCAAGGCAATGACAGCTTAGGATTCAAGGCTCTCCAGAACCTAGCACAGCATACGGGGTGGGAAAACGCATGTTTGCAGGGGTACATATGGAAAATAAGGCAATAGTTAATAAACAGCAATACAAAAATAACTGTGCTTCACACACTCACACTGTGAACCTGCGTCTCCCCCACCCTGTGTGGCTCAGAGTGATACAAAATATGCATCTGTTGAATGAATGAATGAATGAATGAATGAATGAGGCTGAGGCGCACTCTTCTTTTTGACCTGGGATTCGGATCACTCTGCTAGTTAGTTCTCCTAACGCTTCACCATGCGAGGAAGAACTTGTTTAACTGGCGTCTTCCCCACTGTGGAAATTCACCGTGTTGTGCTAGCCACCCCGCCCCCCCCCCCCCCCCCCGGCCGCCTCCACGCTGCACAGTGTTTGGCATCTTAGATGTTTCCCATATGCCATCCACTATTGGGAGTAACACTGTGATGGGCCATCATGTGCCTGCATTTGGCTACGTTCCCAGAACTGGGTCAAAGGCCATGAATATTTGGTTTTTATGGCCAAATTAGGAAAGTCTCTTGCAAATAAGGCTACTCTTATTAGACATAGAACTTGGCCAATTTAACAAATAGAGAGAACAAGTTAGGTTCTCTCTCACACATGTGCATGCCTTGGAGTATGAGTGAGATGAGTTGGTGGGTTTCTATCACCCCGATGGCCCTGGCTTTAAGGCCCATGTGAGTTCTGGAGCGAGTCTGACGCCAGCAACTGGATCTGAAGACAGATCAAGCTGCTAGCCAGGAACCCTCTCCCAGGCTGGGAATTGGTCTGGTGGTCATAGGATGCAACATGCTGGAATGCCTCTGTCTTATCAAAGCCTGAGCTTCACCTAAACTCTCTCCTGACCCGGCGGAGAGAGGGCCTGCCGGCGGTGTGGGGCAGGCGCTGCATCTTTAAGTAACTGTAAGCCGGGGCTCCTGGAAATGGGGGTGATATTAGTCTCTCCTGACAGGTTTGCTGTAAGTCAATGAAGGCATGTACAGTGCTTGGCCTAGTACTTAACCTAATATTTGTGGAATATTCGCTGTCTGTATCATGAGGGTGTATTTCCTCTGTGCATCTCCATCATTGCCTATTGTCATGGAGACGAGGAAAGGCTGGTATTTGTAAAACCGTTGATAATGACTGTGCAACTGTCATGTTATTTCATTAATTGGGACTCAGCTAATGTGATTTAGATAAAAACTACCCCCAAACTTATTTTTATTACAAAACAACAACAACAACAAAACGTACTGGGGAAATGCATAGCATAAAGTTGCCATGGAAACAGTGTCTATTTCTGAGGAAAGGGTCTGTTTTCCAGCATTTTAGAAGCACCCACTCACCTACAACAAATCAGTAATTGTAAATTGTTTTTAGTTCTTCACTAGAGCAAATGGAGCTTTCTAGAAATAAGCCCTATGACTTCAACGAACATGTGGTTAGCCGGCCTGTTGGAGCTCTTACATATATGAAGATGAATGACTCTCTGCACCATTAAGGATGGTTTCTATTTCATACTTTCCCCAACTTCTGTTTCCTCAGTCAATATGAGAGGGGAAGTCTCCCGGTGCCTCAGCCAAGCCAGCAGGCCTGGGCCTGGAGTGAGCTCATTTACCTTTCTTTGGCGTGTGCTGGTGGTGAAACTGCCCATAAAACATGGCATGTGGATGTACATACACTTTCAATCCGGCCCCAGAGAGTCGCATACATATGAATATCTGTAGACGCGTGCCTGATTTCTACAGGGATGCACAGCGTAGAAGCACAGACGTGTAAGGTGCTTTCACTACGCTGTCTGCAGTGTGACCTCTACACGTGGCGGACAGCTGGGTTCTCAGAAGGAATCGTGGGTGGGAGGCAGGCTGGCAGGCCACGGTAGAGAAAGGAGACCTGCTTCTGTACCACAAACACACATTTACCTCCTGCTACCTTCACGCCACTGGCTGTAAGTGAGCTGGACAGGCACCGAGTCTATCTCCTCCACGGCAGCACAACCTTCACTCATTTTACACTTCAGAGCGATTCTTCTATTACAGCTCTTCCTCTACCCTCCTCCCCTGCAACCGCACAGGATTGTCAGCGAGGTCCTGGGGCCAGGCCGGAGGTCTCAGAACACAGGCCTCCAGACCCCTTGTCCCCAGGTGCACACATAGGGGGCGCCTCTCCTATGCAGCCCGACGGGACCTCCTTTCCTTCTCCCTCCGCTCTCAGCTCTGGGCCACGCACCCCTTTCCGTCTGTCTGTCCCTCACACACAAGCAGAGTAGAGACGCATTAGCATCTGAGCCATGCAGGTGCAGAGAAAGCCTTTGCCTAGAGGCCGGTCCCTGGGCCAAGGGGCTGTCCCACCTGCCTCACTCCTGGTGGGATCCCATGTGGACAAAATCCACGTGGTGCTGTGGGTACCAGCGGGCCCAGGCTCAGCCTTGGCTCAGTCTGCAGTTCCCTGGCCTTCCACGTTCATCTCAAGGAAGCCTGCTTCCTTCGCCACCTCCACCAGCTCCTTAACTCTGTGGCCAGCCTCAGGGCTGAGAAAATGTTGGAACAGTAATCCTATATAATAAAAGGATAATATGCAAATCAACCGAAAGGCAGAATGATCGGTTGCTATGATGCATACTGACCACCAGGAGGCAGATGCTCAACGCAGGAGCTTCCCCCTGGTGGTCAGTGTGCTCCCACAGGAGGAGCACCGCTCAGCCAGTAGCCGGGCCCCCGGCTGGCAAACCCAGTGCTAAGGATGTCTGACTGCCGGCTTAGGCCCGTCCCCCCCCAGCCCCCCCGACATTGTTGGAATGTCCATTTGGGCCTCCCCAGCCCGCCCCGGAGGTGGTGCAGACGCAGGCTCGGGTCTGAGAACACTGATGTAGGGGACCGCTAGTTTGAATAAAGTCACAGATTTCCACCCTGTGTACTGTAGTCCCACCTCTCGTGCCCCATGCTTGCTGTGATGCTTCGAGAAGGAAAGAAAGTAGCAGTTTCTTTCCAAGTGCCTTTGGCTGCTGAGGCCTATGCCCAGGGAGCATCCTGGGATCAGGCAGGAAAAAGGCGTTTCCAGGGGCTGCCTCCAGGGGCTGCCTCCAGGGGCTGCCTCCAGGGGCTGCCTCCAGGGGCTGCCTCCAGGGGCTGCCTCCAGGGGCTGCCTCCAGGGGCTCCAGCAGCGAGCTGATGGCTCAGTCTGGCTCCAGGGGAGGCATAAGGAATGCCCCACAGGTCCTGGCGGTTATTTTGAGCTCAGGCTCTCAGAACGGTTGTGAAACACCAAGATTTAAAAAGAAAATGCTGACAGGCAACTGTGGAACCCATTCCCTCCGGCACAGGGGACACCACGCCCAAAGCTGGGGAGCAGCAGGGGATCTTGTCCGGTAGTAATCATTGTTTCCACAAGGTGGCGCTCCAGCTGTAATTATTTTCAGTTTCGTGACTAAAACTGCGATATTGACTTTGGCTGCCAAACAGAATTGAAACTTGTAACACAGTTTACATAGATGGTTTCCTACATAATGATGTTTCATGTCTGACCATGTTTGGGGCAGTTAATTAGGTTTTTGTTCCTCTGGGTCATTGAAACATAACAATATGTAGGCCCTGGAGGGTAGCTCCCTCCATCCCCTTCAGTGCAATCATTGATTTATGAGCAATCAATCTAATTAGAGGCAGTTGATTGGCTGAGACAAGAGGGAGTGAGACCATTTGTTGTTTTTTCATAGACACAACTATACCTCTGGCAGCTTAAAACAAGGGAACTGGGAAACTCCGATTTTCCTGGGAAGTCACAAAGGGTTGATTCTGTCTTTCCCAAGGGGAAGCAGATTGAGCTGCTTCTTTATATTCTGATTTGACAGGATTAGCAACTAAAAATACAGGATGCCCAACCAGAGGTGAATTTCAGATCAACAACAGATATTTTACAATAAATATGCCTCATGTGATGCTGAAGACATAGTAATAAAAAAAAGGGTTCCTTGTTTATTTAAAAATCTAATTCTAGTACTGGGCCTCCGGTATTCTGTCTGGCAGCTCTCCTTTGGAATAACACCCCATTTCCAGTTCTCTTGCCCCCTCCCCTCCTCACAGTCCCGAGGGTCCTTGGGACAGGGGTCATGTCTGGGGTCAGCCCAGGCCATGGGCCGTCCTCTGTAAGTTCCGCAGTTGTCCCTGGGCCAGGTTCCTGCCGCAGGTTCACAGGGCTTCTGAGGGAGCTGGGAAGGGCAGTGAACATTAGAATCATCCCGGAACTTCACATTCTATCCCTGCTTCAGGGATGCCCCTCCTGTGACAAGCGGGGCCAGGGCACATGCATGTTAAGCTCTCCCAGGTGAGTCTAATGGACACCCAGGCCGGGTCAGGGCGTCTCAAGCTGTAGGTGCTAATGCACCACCAGGCAACTTCCTCCAGCGCAGATGCCGACTCAGAGGCTGCGGCCGGAAGCTGCATCCAGCTCCCAGGCGATCCCGATGCTCTAGCCACAGGGACACACCTCAAGGCGCAAGGTTTTAGAGCAGCGGTTCTCAACCGTGGCTGCACATTAGAATCACCTGGGAATCTTTTTAAAATCCTGACTTCTGGGCCTCCTCCGGAAATTCTGTTTCTTTGTTATGGGGTGGGGCCACAACATTAGTAACAAAGAAATAGAATTTCCGGAGGAGGCCCAGAAGTCAGGATTTTAAAAAGATTCCCAGGTGATTCTCATGTGCAGCCAAGGTTGAGAACCAGTTTCAGAGCATGAAAAACTGACTACTGTAGAACCCATGCGTGTTTCCCCAACTCTGCACAAATTCCACCCGAGTTATCTGTTTTCCAGCCCTGTTTGTATTTCGATTTTTCTTAAACATCCTCTCCCCTAAGTTCATAAAAGGGTCTCTCATGTGGGCTAATTGCAAGGCGTCCGGCGCTCACACTCCCCAGTGGCTTCTTCCTGCTCCAGCCTCCTGGCCGCACCGACCACCACCTGCAGTCCCGGCTCACATCGCCACGGAGAACGCTCACCGACACTCTCCTCACCTGTGGTTTATTTCCTGAGTTTTCTGACACTTTGCAAAACGGTTTGTGGAAAGGGACAGCACATGCGTACACCGCAGAGGGCAGGGGTAGGAAGGGCGGGGAGAGGGAAGAGAGAGACACCACGCCCGCCCTCGGCTCAGCGGTGCCCTTACCGGCGACTTCTTAATGTTGGAGACGGCATAGTTCCCCTGCGAGATCCATCTGGCGGACTCGGCTAAGGAGAGGCCTGTTCCGTAAAGGTTGATGCTGAAACGACCCTGGAAAACGACCGAGAAGGAGTTAGTCCACGTGACGTCCCGCGCAAAGGGAGCTTGGAAAGGAGGCGGGTGGTAATTCATAACCAGTGACTCATGAGGAAGGGTTTCTTCTTGGGGGGAGGGGGAGTAGGTCTGGGCCAGACACTTTGCAAGCATCGTCTCATCCATCATCGCGAGAGCTCTAGGGAAGGCGTTTTCTTCGCAGATGGGGAAACTGAGGCCCAGCAGAGCTGCTTGGCTTCAGGGTGCAGTGCAACCCCCATTTTCCTGACTTCAAAGTCTTCGCTCTCAGCTAACGCAGCAACCCCGATGGATGTTGCCCATAATTATCGGATTCCTTCGGGAACAAAATGCCACAACCTAATTTTTCTAACAAGATCTCGCTGCCAAAGCTTCAGGCTCGGGCCCCCCGCGCAGAGCACTGGGTACTGAGCACAGCAGGGCGGGACTTCAAAGGAGCGGCGCGGTCTCCGGGGCGGCCAGCAGAGGGCGCGCGCGGCCTGCTCCCGGCCCCTGGACCCCTCTGGCCCAGGGAGCCCCGCCCCGCCTCCAGGCCACTGGGGTTCCTATGGAGACATGGCCCTGAGCTGTTTCCATGTTTCTTCCTAAGGAGGCGGTGCAGAGAGCTGTTCTCTTGCTTTTCCCATCCGCCTCTGACCCCTTCCTCCCTCTCTCAAAAACGGCTTCGCAGAGGCACCTGAAATAGTTTCTTCTAGAGCAGTGGTTCTCAACCTTCCTAATGCCGCGACCCTTTAATACAGTTCCTCATGCTGTGGTGACCCCCAACCATAAAATTATTTTCGTTGCTACTTCGTAACTGTAATGTTGCTACTGTTATGAATCGTAATGTAAATATCCGATATGCAGGATGTGTTTAGGCGACCTCTGTGAAAGGGACATTCGACCCCCAAAGGGGTCGCGACCCACAGGTTGAGAACCTTGGTAGGCTCAGGGCAAATGCTTCCTCCTGAGCCATACCACCCAGTCCTTTGTCAAAAGCCTTAACACAAGGAGGGGCAGGCTGGGGGCCCCATCAGCCCTGAGTGTAAATTCAGCTCTTTTTTAGGGCAATGAGACCTTGACACATTTTTTCAGCCCCTGGGGCTCTCAGCTTGTCTGTCTGCAAGTGGAGGTAATGGTCCTGTTTTCTGGGGTCTGTGAGCGGGCTAAGCTGAGCTGCAGTGCTATGGGGGTGCTCGCTTCCCGGACAGGGGGTTTCCAAGTCCAGGCTGCATGAGGCTCAGTAACTTCCTGGTTCCTGGTTCACAAATTAATGTTATCTGATCTAACCTGTGAATAAGAGGGGGTTAGAAGGTAACTCATTATCTGGCAGCATAGCTGAAATCTTCAAATGTGTCCTGGGATTATTCTGTGACAGCCCCTAGGGTTGGTGGTGGTCGATCTGAGTGTCCCTGAGTGGCCCTGCCAAGGCAAAGCCACCCTTGTGGTCCTCAGACACTGGCTTCTGCCGGCTGGATTACCCCCCAGGCCACTTGTCTTCTGTCATCCCTGCCCCAGGACTGGTACACAGCCCCTCTCATGCCCAGAGCACACCGTTACCGGGGACCCCTTTCATTTCTCCCTCTCCATCCTGCTCCCCAGGCACCGGCCTATGCCACTTGCACTGCAGAAGGTAGACTTGATCTGCTCAGCACCCCAGACCTGGTATCCAGGGTCTGAGCTGCCCCTCTGGGCAGGTGACACACCTGAATGGAACATGCCCTCCGGCTCTCTCCTCCTTTTCTGGTTCAGGGATTTGATTGGCAGCAAGTGTCCCAGCTCTAAAGAGAGACCTCTGTCCTATCTCACCCTAGTCAGGGGCATCCTTGTCCCGAGGCCTATCTTCAGGGTCGAAAGGGCAGGAGAGTTTTAGCTACTCCCTCTGTTGCTGGTTTAAAAGAGAAACAGTAATGAAGAGCCATGCATACACTAGAAGACCCAGAGAGCTTTGCGAAGGATATGCCTCAGGGTTTGCTCTCTGCTCGGAGGAGAGTGAACGCAGCAGAAATCCTGCCTGGAAACAGGATCAGCCAGACAAGCAGGGCTGCCACTTGCACTCCGACACCTGAGATCAAACCCAGCCTCCACGGCGCACCTGCTGCGTGGGTCTGGACAGGCACCCAGCCTTTCTACTTGCCCTGTCCCCGCTGTCAGGAGGGGGTATTCTCGTAGGATGCTGTGGGGTCCAAGTGACGCTGACTGACGAATGCTGAGTACGGGGCCTAGAGCCTAGTAAACAATAGATGCTACTAATGCCAGCATCAAAAAGTTAATGACAACGTGGCATCCACTGGGTTATGATTTAAAATACATACATATTCTGGCATATCTTCAGGTGAGGGCTCTTGGGGAACCGCCCCCCATGATAAGTGAATCCCCAAAGCGGCAGCGATGGATGAGGCAGGAGGAGCAGACTGCCAGAGCACCTCACTTTGACTTCTGCCAGGTCAGAGGATAAACCGTCCTTGAGCAGCTCGCACAGCCCTGCTTTCCAGACCTTTCCCTAAAACCCATTTGAAAACTCACGGCGTTCATCTACTTCGCTGGTGCTCAATAAAGGGAAAGAATTCTTTAAGTATCCAATATGGTTTGAGGAATGGGCTGGGAAAAAATACAAATCAGCCTCTCCCTGGCTTCCGGTTTGCTCACTTAGCAACTGCTTCAAAGTCAGGATTTAGCAAATCAATCCCTTCATTTGTCTCTAAATTAGTAAAATAAATGAATGCGAATTCACTCCAGTTATTTCGCATACAGAAAAGAGAGACCCCTGGGACAGCTGACAAAGGCAGGGCGGGCCAGTCTATTCGCTGTTAAAATGCAGCCCATACAGGGGGTGTTTGAAGTCCCCAACTGCTCTGAAGAAGCTGCACTTCAAACGTTTCCAGGCCTGGGTCATGGAGAAAAGGCCCCTTCACCATCATGTCCTCTGTTTATTTTCCTTCTCCCTTGAGAGCTTCCTTTTCACTCCTCTGAAACGTTTAGCAATGCGTTCTACAGCTCGGGGCTGAGAAAACACTTCTTAAAAGACAATTCAGATGTGTTTGTCTTTGGACGTCCCTGTGGCTGGTGAACGTCTACCCTGGGATCCCGGAGGCATCCCCCAGCCCCCCCACCCCGCCCCCACTGGTCTTCCAAGGTGCACAGGCAGAGGGGAGATTCCGGCCTCCTGGGAACCAAAGGAAACCTGGGGCCACGTTCCCCTGCCAGTCACCTCGCTCCTTGTTTGTCCTGCAAAGGCTGGTGGTGACGGCCAGGCTGATGTTGCAGAAGGAGAGCTAAACCCTGTGGCACGGGAGAATGGGCAGGAGGCCCGCCGGGCAGCGGTGCTGTGAAGCGCCAATGCAGGGGGAGGTGGTATGTGTGCACTTCCGGTCCGAGCATGGCACATTTTACACGTTTGGGTCTGCGACTGCTTCTCTACGTCACGTAACAGTCAGGGTTTGTAATGGCGGACAGGGGTGTGTTGGAGGCCTCTTGCACTGGCTGTTGAGAGCTGATTGCCTCTCTTCCCAGCTCTCCATTTAGCGACATAAAGTCCATGGCTTGAAATCAGTCGTGCAGGTGGGAGGGAGATATCTGTACCACGGAAATCGGCAAACGCTACCAAGCAGGGCTGTTTTTTTCTTTCTTGGAGAGCCAGCATTAAACATTTACCAGCATGTCACTGACTCCATCATATTCATTTTATTATCATTTGCTTAACCAAGCTGTTTGCTAGCCCGCATCTAACTTGTTTCTAAATGCTTACGTTGTAAGAGGTGCATTTTGCTGAATGCGGAGGTTTGGCCTGTGGCTGTGATCGTTCCCTTAGGAAACACTCCCGGGAGTGGGGTGCGACTAGATGAGAAGCTGTGAGCATTTGAGGGGCTCCTGGTGCAGGGACCAGAACAGCTGTTCTGACTACATCCCCTCAGCCAGGCCCGGGGCCAGGCTCCCAGCACATACCTGCGGGCACTTGGCGGCGCTGTAGCAGTCCCCAGCGGTGGCAAAGGGCACGGGATGCCCTTCGCTGGTCCTCGCAAACTGTAAGTCAGTGGCTGTGGAGTTCGGAGAGGGGTTAAAGGCGGAAGAGAGGTGACAGCGGGAGAAAGAGGCAGGGAAGGGACCGGATGTTAACAAGGAGAGAGAAGGGAATGAGAGCAGTAAGGAAATAATAAGAGGGAGTGGGAGAGGAAAAAAACACACAGTACGATTAGTGAGCAAATGCATCCAGACGGGCTCTGGCTTGTTCCTCGTTGGGGTTCTGAGAGCCTCTCCTTGGGGTTTATCACCCCTGACTGTCTCCTCACAGCACGGAAGCCCCCCAAGGGGGTCGAGATGACTGTATGTCATGTGTGAACCGCCTCGCTTAAACAGAGCGACCGGGGGTGGTGAACCTGCTGTTCACCCGCCGAGGCCTCGGGACCAGGGAAGTCAGGAAGGCGTTCCCGGCGAGGCGAGTCATTCCTCGAGGCTCCCTCTGTCCTCCCGTGGCCCAGGCACTGTGTTACTGCCAAAAATGTGGAGCAATGAGAACCCACATCTTGAAAGTATTAATGGCAGTTTCTCAAGTTTGGGGCTAACTTGTAGTTTTTTTTAAAAAAAGCCCATAAAACAATGGGCTCATGCTTTTAACTGTCTTGTAGCTCTTGTGACCTGTAAGGGGTCAGGGATCCTGCAAAAGTTGCCGCTGGGGGAACTGGAGGTCAGGGCGGCTGGTTACCTTTCTGCCGTGTCTTTCTGGAATCTTCCTGCAGCTTACCACATGGTGGTGGGAGGGACATCTGAGTGACCCCTCACCCCGGTCCTGCAGGAAAGGGGCCCTGGCAGGAGCCCTGGCCTTAGCTTGCGGGGGCGGGGGAGGGGGTCTGAGTGAGAAACTGCATACCCTGCCGTTAGCCCTAATGGTCCAGCTAAAAGCAATTAGGAATATCTTGGTACCAATCAAGTGCAATCGACCTCAAGAGGAAAGAAGTGCAATATTATGGGTACCTTGTTAATGAGGAAAAATTCATTATTCATCGCTTGTTTGTCCTCTATTCAGGGGACCGTGTTTGGCTGTTTGAGCTGCATTAACCACTCCCATGATTAATGTCCCGAACAAAAATGCAGTGTTGGCCAGAGTATAAAATCGGCCCACGCGCAGGCCGGTTTTAAAAGGTAATTGTGTGGCTCCATTTATCTTGTGTGAATCAACAATCAGAAGAAGTCAGCTTTATGCCTGTGTGTGCGTACGCTGTGTGTGGGAGCCATGGCCACCTGGGTCCCCAGTGCCGGCTCACCCCTGCTTGACCTCAAGGCCTCAACTCTGATGTCACTTTTGGGGGTGCTGCTCTGACTCTGCCACTGCAAAGGACCCCTTTAACATGCCTCCATCCCCTCCATCCATTCGTCATCACAGGTCTGAGGGCCCCGCTGTGCCAGGCACCTTCCCAGCGGGGACAGAGGGGAGCACCCCACCCTCACGGGCTAGGACAGTGGATCTTGTCCCTCTGGGCATCCTGGGCACCTGGCCCAGCCGCCTGGCTGCCCGAGTGGGGGACGGATGGACACTCCCACACGACACCCCGAGCTCACTTATGATCTGCATGCTGGCCAGGTCTATCCTGATCTTCTGGAAGCTGGAGAAGCCGGCCGCCGTGTAGTCCTTCCGACACTGGCAGTCCTCGCGCCGGCTCCCGTTGTAGGGGCATTCGGTCGGGTTGTGCAGCCTGCAGGCCAGAGAGAAAGTTCTGGTGAGCGCGGGGGGCGTCCAGGGGCCTGCAGGGCTGGGCTCCCGAGCCGAGCTCGCTTACCTGTGCCCGTACACCTCGGAGAAGTTCTCCGTGTCCCCGCGCACCAGGGTCAGGTACTCCTTGGGGTGGTCGGACTGCATCCCTGCACAGAAGATCTGAAAGGCAGACAGAAACCCCCCGGGGGGCGGCTCAGGAACGGGGCGCTGGGGGGCCGGCCGCTCGCTCCCGATGCATTAGGAAGAGGACTGCCACCTCACCTTCAGGAGCTTTCCCTGGACTGTCAGGAAATACTCCCCGTCTTCCCTGGCGCCGCTCAGATGCTGCACCTCCCTGCAGCTCTGGGGTAACTCGCCTGGAAAAGATGAGGCATGAAATGGCCTGAGACGCCCCTGGTGGGCATGTCTCCTCAGACTCTTCAGCCAAGGGGACAGTTTCTTTAAAATAAATCGCATTTATCTGAAGGGGCAGGCAAGCAAGTGAACAGGAAACCCTGTTCTCCAGCCCTAGCCGGTTTGGCTCAGTGGATAGAGCGTCGGCCTGCAGGCTAAAGGGTCCCAGGTTTGATTCAGGCCAAGGGCACATGCACAGGTTGCGGGCTGGATCCCCAGTAGGGGGTGTGCAGGAGGCAGCCGATCAATGATCATTGATGTTTCCATTTCTCCCTCTCCTTCCGCTCTGATATCAATGAAAATATATTAAAAAAACAAAACAAAACACAAAATACCCTGTTTTTCAGGCTCCAGAGAGGTGGCTTTGCTCGGCCAACTTACAGTTGTAGATATTATGGCAGGTTTTCCTCTCTTCCGGCTTCAGCTCCGCGGGGCAGAGGTGGCTGGGCTGGTCCTCGTTGGTCAAGCACTGCACGGATCGGTGCCGCACCCCGAGGCCACAGGACACGGAGCACTGCAAGGAGAGCAGGGTCAGCACCGTGCACAGGCGTCACTGCAGACCCTCTGCCTCTGAAACACACAGCTGACATATCGAGCACATACTATGGTCTCGTCCCTGTGCTGAGTTTTACTTCTACACGTTTACGCATGCCCACGACGAACACAGTTCCATATGCATGTGTGCATATGATCCTATATAATAAAAGTCTAATATGCAAATAGACCAAACGGTGGAATGACTGGTTGCTATGATACCCACTGACCACTAGGGAGCAGACACTCAATGCAGGAGCTGCCCTCTGGTGGTCAGCGCACTCCCACTGGGAGCACCACTCAGCCAGAAGCCGGGCTCGTGGCTGGCAAGGGCTCCTGGACTGTGAGAGGGTGCAGGCCAGGCTGAGGGCCCCCCCTGAGTGCACAAATTTCGTGCACTGGGCCTCTAGTGTAGATACAATTTTACATTCTCACTTAGGTCTCACAGTGACCCTCAGGTAGTAATTCCATGACTCTGTCTGTACAGAGCAGAGATTAGGGCTCCCATGTTGAATTTGTTCCAGGTCCTGGGGGAGCCAGGATTCACACGCTGACCACTTCCAGCGACTCCTAGACTTTTGCCCAATCACTGCGACCCTGAGCAATCAGGGTATGTCAGCCCAGGCGAGTTACCCCAGAACTGCAGGGAGCTGGGGGCTGCGGTGATTTCCCAGGGCAGCTCCAGTTTAAAATATTCTCCCTTGGCCCAGCCAGTGTGGCTCAGTGGTTGAGTGTCAACCTATGAACCAGGATCTCACAGTTCCAACCAGTCAGGGCACATGCCCAGGCTGCAGGCTCAATCCCCGGGGAGGGGTGTGTGTGTGTGTGTGTGTGTGTGTGTGTGTGTGTGGCCGATCAATGATTCGCTCTCATCACTGAGGTTTCTCTCTCCCTCTCTGAAGTCCATAAAAATACATTTTAAAAAATAAAATAAAAATTCTCCCTTATACTCCTTACACGACAGGACTAGTTCCCGATGCAGGACTAGACCACACAGACTGCTCAGCCACAAAGCGACGTGATGAAGTTCTAGGTGCTTTGAAATTTTCAATTGTGGAAACTGTATGCAACTTAAAATGTGCCCCTCTGACATAAGTGCTTTTTTGGTATTAACCCTTTCTTCTTCACAACCACCCATGTCGCCGGTGAGGCCACTGAGACCTGGAAGTTCTGCCCTTGCCCAAGGTCATTCGACTGGGAAGTGGCCTAAGCGCCCGGCAAGCCCACTGCAAGGTGCTCACGGCTGCTTCTCACCAGGTCTCTCCTAGAAGGAGAGTGACAGGGCAGGGCAGGCAGGCCGTGTGACGGTGGGGTTCTCCACCCCACACTGTGACTGGATAACGCAGCCATCTACTTACGCTGCCCCAGTTGCCCACTCTCCAGGTGGCGGAGACCGGGCACTCCCTCAGGTAGCAGGGGTGGATGCTGGGGGGCTGCGTGCCCGGGCAGTTGGCGGCAGTCTGGTGGCCGTACTCATAGTTCTCCTTCCCGGTGTAAATCTCGCTGCAGGACACCAGCCTTTGCTTGTAGCCCTTCCCGCAGGTCACCGAGCACTGAGGAGAGAGGGGTTGAGGGAAAGGCTGGGGCAGGGCTCCGTGCAGCAGCCTCCTGCGCTCTGCAGCCGTCCCCAGCACAAGGAGACCGGCACCTCCTGCATCTGTGCTCCCACTGCCCCACGGGGTGGCTGGGTGCCTCAAGCACCTTCTGTGGATTTCAAGGGGAGAGAGGGCCGGGGTGTGGGGGAGCTCCAGCTGTCATTGGTTCATTTACAGCCTCCACAGCCCACACCCCGGCTTTCCCAAACCTACAGTGACCACATCAGAGACCTGACCGAGCGGGATGGAGAGAGCCCGAGCCCATCTGGGCTGAGTGTCAAGTCTGAGCGCTTAGCCAATGGGGGACCCTGAGGCAGGCTTCCTTTCCTGCTCAATGTCGTTTGCTTCTCCATCTGACCTCCACCTAATTCCCTCTCTCTTCTCTCTCCCTGGCTACATATTATTGACTAAAATGTTGCCTTTCTGCTTCTCTGTCTGTCTGTCTCTCAATCATGCAGGCATTGAGCCCGTCTGCCATCATTAGCATGCATTAAAAATACCCAGAGGCACAGAAAAGGAGAAGAAACAAGTACCTTACTAGTGTCCCACTCCATGATGGGATAGCTAATTGGTTATTTATTTTATATGCGGTTCAACCTCCCCGGCGAAGTATTTCATGTATTATTTAAAAATAAATCTGAATGACAGTGAATTTCGTTTTGATGACATTTTTAGTCGAAGTCATCAAGTAACTGGCCGTCCCTTGTGACGGTGTCACCTGAGTTCAGGTGGGGTGTGAGGACTGAGGCCACAGGCTCTCCGAGGGGGGCCAGGGGGGGCCAGGGACAGTCCAGCAGCGGCTGGTGTGCGCTGCTTCTCGGGCTGAGGGACCAAAGCGTCATCTTACGCCCTCTGAAAGCCACAGCCCTGCTCCTTCCTCACTCCCTGTGCTGCGCTGTGCTTTAAGCCACGTGGCTTTCCTCCCTGAACCGCCTCCAGGGAGAAGGCTGTCCTTGAAGACCTGCCAGAGGCAGGAGGGCACAGGCCCAGCCGCGGGCACGCACAGCACAGCACTCCTCCCCGCGGGCTCCGGGCTTGTCGCGCTGCGCTGCCTACGATTCTTCCTTCTTTGGCAGCCGCTGTTCAAATGCCGAAGACCCCGCTGACGCCAGCCCGGGAGTGTGAGGCCAGTCTGGGGAGTTTCACGTGTGGCAGATGGCTGAGGGCTGCCCTGTCCGAGCTGCGGGTTTAGCGTGTACCCAGCGCTTGCGTGCGGTGACCTCAGTGCACGCGAATCCGAACAGGGCTGAGTGCCTGCCAAGGCAAGTCCTGAGAATCACCCACAGAGCAGCCCGTGGCCACGGATGGAGGGACACAGTGGCGGACAGGCATCTGCTGATGGAACGGAACCCAAATATGGTCAGGGTTTACTCCGGAGGCCTCCGCTTCTCTGAAGAGGATCGGGAAGCACACACCCTGCCTCTGGCTCCTGAATGCATTTCAGAGCAGAGCTCGGAGGGGGAGGAGGCTCATCCTGGGGGGCCGGGGGGTGGGGAGGGAGGGCAGGGGGGCCAGCGCTGAGGTGGGGGAAGTCCTGCTTTTCTGACCTGGCCCTGGCGCCCAAAATTCAGGAGGCCGAGCGCAGAGAGGAGCCAAGAGCTGTGGAGGGAATTCTGGCCCGATCCTTTGGCATCCCCCCCTCCCAGGGCCCCTGCCCTGCGGTCCTGTGTGAAGTCCTGTCTCCAGCCCTCTAAACGTTGCTTGTACATTTGCAGATTTTTCACTCTATGACACATGTGAGAATTTGCAGACATGTAGAAGACCTTTTTAAAAAATGAAATCTTCTCCTCATGTTATCCTTTAGGGGTTAAGATTAGGTTTTAAAGCTATAGGAATAATGACTCAAGACTTAGAGACCACATTCTTCTAGCAGAATAACAACACACCACGGACTGGCTGAGGTGACTGGGAGTGGCCATGCACAACAGGAGGTCTGGCAGCACCCCTGGCCTCTACCAGATGCCTGGGGCATCCCCAAGAAACAGTGTCTCCAGACATTGTCCACTGTCCCCTGGGAGGGAGGCCGAGTCGCTGGAGTAGGGAGGAGGATGGAGAGGCGGAGCTAGAAAAGACTTTAGGACCAACTTTCATAGAAACAATTCAACACACGCAGACCTGAAGAGCCCTGGCCGACAGTGAGCGCGTCTGCAGAACCCAGGCCCTTCCCTGTCACATCTGTAGATTCTTCAGGGCAAACAACAACTAGTTTTGATGCTATAGATCTGTCAGTGTTTGGAAATATCGTGAGGTTGGAAAATAGTAGAATCATGCTATTGTTACTGTTGTTGGATTAACGATAAAAAGTGTCCAGGTCGGCAGTGTCTGCCGGAGGACATAGTGAAACACAGACCCTTGAGATTCCTTGGATATTATGGGAAATTATTTTGTTCCTGTGAGCAGAGTTGTAAAATAGGCAACCCAAATCGGGCCCAGGAATGTGTTTGGTTTGCCCCACACAATGTTTCAAACAAATAATTTGAGTCCTCATTTTAAAATTAGGAGACCTCAGCTAAAACCCCTGGTTGTGTCCTCTCTTGAAAGATCAGGTTTGGACCCACATTTCTGCATAGCCTCCGCGAGTGGGAGAGAGCCATCCCATAACACACATGTGCTAGTGTGCCGCAGTCTCCACCTCTCCCTGCTGTCTCCCGGGCACTAAGGCACTTTCTTATACTTAACTCTCTTCCGCACGGACAGGCATCTTCTGAAGGTGCAGCCTCTGTTATAATGACTCCCTAATCATACCAGCAGGACATTGAAGTGAATCACAGAATCAAGACTTGAGGGGAGCTCCCCATCTCATGCACCTTCCCCAATACGCACATGGGGGCCCTGGCCCGGGAAGGCGGAGGGACTTGTCTGAGAACTATGCTCAGGGGCATCCCTGCCCTCACCACCCTGTTTCCCTCAGGCCATTGCTGACCATTGAATCCCCAGGACGCACCTCTGACCACTCTCCTGTGATCCAGATGTACTCGCAGGGCTGCAAACTACAGCTCTCACGGTCGGCAGGCCGCTTGCTGGGGTCGCAGTGCCCGCCGTGCACCTCGCCGCCTTTGTCCTCATCCACACACAGCACCCTGCGGTACCTGGTGCCTTCGCCGCAGGTCCTGGTGCACTGCCGAAGATAAGCAAAGAGGGCTGGTGTGCAAGGGTATGGAACAGTGATGTCCTGTTATCATATATGTGATATGCTACCTACTGTGTATAGAAGGAGATCTGCTTGCTGCGATTGCTCGTTTCCCTGGCTAGCACCCCTTTGAGACTGAGACCCTGGGATGAGCAGGGGTTACCTGCAGTAGCCGGTGTGCGGCTGCCCGCAGCAGGAATGGGATGGGGATAATGAATTTCAGGTCTGCGAAGACCTGACGGTCTGTTTACTTCGAACACCTACACTACTCGAATATGGAATGCTCTTAAAACAGTGGCCAAATGGTTTTCAAACTATTATTTAGTCACTTCCCTGACTCAAGAGGTGACTGAATACTTCTTAAGTCAGGGAAGTCATTACCTGTCCACATGGCCCATTTCATCTAAAACCAGGACTAAATGGCTCTCTGTGGGTCCCAGCCTCTCGTCCTGGTGGCCCATTGCAGGCAGCAGGGAGGACAAGTTTCATTTCTCACCAGTGACCCCTCCAGGGCTCGAGGAGGGCCCTCCTGTGGCCCTACAGCCCTTTCTTCTCCAGGTGACCTGCTCATCTGGTCATTCAGCAAATATTCACCATGTTCCCAATCAGGGCCAGGCCCTGGGCCGGTTCTGGGTGACTGAGTGGACAGGGTGTGCAGCCCCTGCTCTCCCAGAGGAGCACGTGCATTTCAGTAGCAAAGCCAGGCGTGACTGGCTGAGGGAGCCGGGGAGTGAGTGAGCAGGTGCTATGATCTCCATTTTCAGACCAAGAAATGGGGACCTAGAAAGCCCATATAATTTGCTCCAGGTCACACATCTCTGTGAGGCAGGAGGGACTGATCGCTGTATTCCCAGGAACCAAGCGAGGAAACAGAGCAGCTGGCATGTGTTGTCCTGGGATGACCTCTCTCTATGCTGTCCATTTGAGTTCGGGAGCCAATTTCACTCAAAATTCTTTCCCGAGAAAAATGGACAGATACATGCAAAAGAAGAGAAACCAGACCACTTTCTTACACCAGAATAAACTCCCAGTGGACTAAAAACTTAAACCTAAGACCCCCAAACCATAAAACCCCAGCAGAAAACATAGGCACTAAAATCTCTGACATTTCTCTTAGCAATGTGTTTTCTGATATATCTCCTTGGGCAAGGGAAACAAAAGAAAAAAATACACAAATGGGATTACAACAAACTAAGAAGTTTTTTCCCAGCAAAGGAAACCATCAACAAAACGAAAAGACCAATTACTAACTGGGAAGAGATATTTGCCAATGACACAACTGATAAAGGGTTAATCTTCAAAATTTATAAAGAATTTATACAACTCAACACCAAAACACACACACACACACACACACACACACACACACACAAGCAATCGAATTAAAAAATGGGCAAAGGACAAGAATAGACACTTCTTCAAAGAGGACATACAGGTGGTTAATAGACATATGAAAAGATGCTCAATGTCACTAATCATCGGAGAAATGCAAATTAAAACCACAATGAGATATCATCTCACACCTGTCAGCATGGCTACCATCAATAAATCCACAAACAACAACAGCTGGCAAGGATGGGGAGCAAAGGGAACCCTCATGCACTGTCGGTGGGGATTCAGATTGGTGCAGTCACTACAGAAAACAGTGTGGAGTTTCCTCAAAAAATTAAAAATGGAACTGCCTTTTGACCCAGTGACCCCATTTCTGGAAATATATCCTAACAATCCTGAAACACCGATTCAGAAGGATACATATGCCCTTATGTTCATTGCAGCGTTATTTACAGTAGCCAGGATATGGAAGAAACCCAACTGCCCGTCAGCAGACGAGTGGATAACAACATGGTGGTACATATATTCAATGGAATGTTACTTGGCCATAAAAAGAATGAAACCTCACCACTTGAGAGCATGAACAGACCTAGAGGGTAGTATGCCCAGTGAAATGTCAGTCAGAAAAAGGCAAATACCATATGATTCCACTTATCTGTGGGGTCTAAAGAACAAAATAAACAAACAAAAGAGAAACAGATTCACAGATGCAGAGAACAGACCGATGGTTGCCAGATGGGAGAAGAGTTGGGCGACTGGGCAAATAAGATGAAGGGATTAATAAGTACTAATTGGTACAAAACAGTCACGGAGATAGAAAGTCCAGCACAGGGAATACAGTCACCAATATTGTAATAACAATGTGTGGGCCCGGTGGGTACTAGAAATATTGAGGGGAACACTTTGTGAAGTATATTATGGTCTAACCACTATGCTGTACACCTGCAACTAATACAAAATAATATTGAATGTAAACTGTAATTGAAAAATGCAATTTAAAATAAAGAAATTCTTTTCTGATATGCTTCTTGTCTCTCTCCCTCTTTCTCTCTCCTTCTCTCCCCGCCCCCCCTCCCCCCGCCCCATCTCTCTGGTAAAATAAGCATAACACAGCCATCTTAAAGTGTACAATTCAATGCCATTAAGTTACCCATAATGTTGTGCAATAATTACCCTATCTATCCAAACATTTTTATTGCCCCAAAAGGAAACCCCGAGCCTGAGTCACTCCTCCCCACCCCCACTCTCCTCCCCTACGGCAACCACCAGTCTGCTTTCTGGCTCTATGATTTGCCTATTCTGGGTATTTCATACAAATCTAATTATCCAGTGTGTGTCCTTTGGTGACTGGCTTCTTTCATTTAGCATAATGTTTTCAAGGTTATTCCATGTTAAGCATGTATCCTGTTTATGGCTGAATCATAGTCCAATGCATGGATATACCATGTTTGGTTCAAATGTTGATGGATAAATAGGGGTAATTATTGCACAACCCTGTGGGTAACTAGATGCTGTGGACATGCATGTACACCCGATTTCTATTCTTTTGGCTGCATTCCTGGGAGCAGAAATGCTGGGCCCCCTGTCTTCTGTGAGCTGCTTTGCTCTTCAAGATGCAGAAGGGATGCATGGTGTGTTCTGATAACCCATATCATTTGCAAACTTAACTCGAAATTTATTCCTGCTGCTTGGAAGAAAACCTCAATGTCTAGAATGTGAAGTTATTTGTAATTTTTCTGGGGCACAGATATGAATCAAAATTACTATGAGATGAGCACAGAGGAGCAAATCGCTTCCAACCAGTGCGGGAGCTGGTGGGCCCGGGGTCTGGCTCAGTCCTGGTTCGGTGGTTTTGGGGTTTTCTGTGCCCCTGGAGGGTGGTGGGAATGACTATGAAGTAATAATGTTTTTGTTTCTTCATTTAAGAAATGCCAAATAAGTTAGGGAGCCACCGAATGTTACAAAACAAAACAAAAACGTGGTTAATCTGTGATGTGTAGGTATAGGCAGGAGAAATACTTAACTCCCCTCAGAAAAAGCAGTTCCCTAGAAATCAGGACTTGGTGGGCAGAGGATGAGGCTGAGCAGCGGCCTGCCCCGGCCTCCCGGGCCCCATGCCTTCCCTAATCCGCAGGGCTTTCCTTGTGTCAATGAGTAACAGCTTAGAGCAGGGACTCTAAATCCCTTCTGCTAGGTAAGTGTTTCTCTCTTGGTTTTGAAGAAGTGTAACTGCCATCAAAGCTCGTTTGCCAATGGTGGAAAAGGGAGTTGGAAACCTTACCTTGTGTTGAGGTAAGAACTGTCTAAACCTGTAGAGAATATTAATGAGTTTCTTTGAGCCAAACTGACAATTGCCAAGAAGCAAAATCTCAATGGATGGAGAAAATGCTCTGGAGAAGGGCAGTTCTGCAGCTTATTTCATTCATCAGAATCAGAGGGGGAGGCGTAAGAAGCGCTACATGAGCCCGCTGTGTAGATTAGGGGGGTGGCAGCAAGCAAGACGGGGAGTCTCGGGGATGGAGAAAAGGCAAAATGGAGAAACACATGCTTCTTTTACACGGTGGGTACAGGATACATCATAATTCAATTCCCAGCGCACAGAGATGGTGTTCGGGGAGCAAGGTAACAGTGAGGGCTCTGTGGTCTCCGCTCTGGCAGGAACGAGGGTGAGCCCTGCGGGTCCTGGTCCGGGAGAGGAGATAAGCTGACATTCCAAGCTCTGTTATCTTAGATGCAGAAAGACAACAGCAGCTCAGTTAACATAAAGAGTGACCTTTGTCAGGGAGGCTACAGGCCTGGGACGTGACTACCGGCCATGCCTCGCTTTTGGTTCGGAAGTTTTACGTCAGACCACCCCTGTGCTTACTGTAGGTCTCTGAGTTTGTGAGGCCACCATGCGGGCCTCCCCTGAGCTGTCAGGTTTAGGGTGTGGCCCCCCTTTCGCCCACGATTGAGTATAACTTTTAGAAGAATGAAGGGGAGTAAGTAAGTGAGACGTGCGTGCTCTGGAAGGAGTCTGCAGACGCTCCGGAGTCCCACCAGCTTGTCTGCTGGCGCCTGGACCCGAACCAGAGCTGAGGCGGGTGGTCGGAGCACCCCCAGCCCGTGCTTTTGGATCATCAGCCTTGGGTAACACCACTCCCCCTCTGACTTATGAACTCTTCTTTCCTGGAGAATGATCTAGAACGTCCTGCAAAACAGCTAGAAAGATCCACTAGCCTCATTTTAATCCCAAAAGCTTTCCTCAAATTTCATGACAGCTTTTAGGATAAAGTACGCCGAGTGCCTAAGTCACAGCGCCAGCCGCCCAGACGCCCAGCCTCACTGATGCAGACGGCGAGCCACAGCGGCGGGCTGCCCTGGGCCTGCCACCGCCTCCCAGGCCGCGTGCCTTTCAATGCGCTGAAATAAACCGGGGAGCAACTTTCCAAATCCCAGGGCAAGACCTACAATAAATGGTTAAAGTACGATTTTCTTTAGGCAGGCAGGTTGGCCACGGGGAAAGGTCTAAGAGGGGTTATTTGACACATTGGGTAGAAACTGTCTTTCTTTAAAGATTGTAATCAAGCTGCTTTCCACTTGATCTCTCTATGGAGGACAGATCAGTCGCCCGCTCCCGGGGCCCCGCTATCCTTGTCAGATAGTGTGAGCACAGA